AGACAAACAATGAGATCTTATATGATCACAAAACTTCTACTAGCTATAAAAGCTAGTTGGCCTCGAGAAGATGCCCACGAGGCAATTTGGATACAAGAGGACAATGCTCCTTCTCATGTACACACCGATGATGCAGAGTTTGTTGCAGCAGTTGCCAATATCGACCTTGATATACGCCTAATGAACCAACCTGCTAATTCACCTGACATGAATTGCCTAGACCTTGGTGTAACACCCTCGGTGTTACACCCTAAATCATTTACTAAAATATGTCATGAGCATCATGTTTATGTGATAATGCATGTGACGGAGTGTGTAGATCAATTTCTTGTAACCTAAAATGACAAATAAAAATGTTAAACGAAAGTTGATTCAATAGCTCATGTATATCAAGTAGGGCTTAAAACTAATTTTTATTGAACAAAAATTCTACATAACATATATGTGGCGCTTAAATAAAGATTGGAATATGAACTTTGTAGATGACAATGAAATACTTGCTGTAGAAAAATAACATTGCTAGCCAACATTTCTAATAGCCTAGAAATGCAAATTGGAATTAAGTTTAGCTCAAAAGACTTAGAATATTTTCAAGTATGTTGACAGTTAGACAATGCCATATTTGGCAATTTATTTTGTGAAATCGGGTTAAGAAAAGGTGTCATATGTTAGCTTGGTTTGGTAGCCTCATATGCCATCTTGAGCATGGTGAAGATGGTTAAGGTCCACAAGCAACCGTGTAGTTTTTATATGCGCTTTAAAATTCATGCACGACACGTCTCGGGCTGGTTGGCCACGTGGACGCAGTCACCACGCTCGGGCGCTCGGCGTCGCCACGCTGGTTGTCCCGCACGCACACACACTGCTGCACATGGCCAGCCACGGCTGCTCTAGCCTGGCTGTGGCCTGGCCGCCGCTGGCTCCTGGCGCATGAAGCCGCTGCTGCTTGCGCAGCCAGGCGGTGCTGCCGCCGGCCCCGTAGCGCTATCGCACTGCCGACCCGCCCCACGCCGCGATGCAGCCGCTGCCGGTGTCGTCGCCTCGCCGTCATGTCCGTGCCTCCCTCTGCATCTTTGCGCCGCTGCCGGCCCAGTGCAATGCCGCCTCTGCCGCGCACATATGGCCAGGCTCGCCGTCGCCTTGTCATTGATGGAACTGTGGCGCGCGGGCCACGCCGGTCGTGAATGCGTGCGCCTGTCTGTTAGCTCCTGGACGTGGGTCTCCACGGTCGCGCCAACCACGTCCAGCCAAGGCGCGCACACGCCGAGCCACCGACCGTACCCCACCGCTCTCTCTCTCTCTCTCTATTTCTCATCTCTGTGCCACCGTCGAGCCGTGCCCACGTGCGAGCCAGAGAGCAGTCACGTCTACTCAATTCCGCCCGTCTGCTCCTTCGTCCTCTCTTATTCTCGTCGTTCGACCCCGCATAGCCATGATAACGCCCCGGCCAAGCGCCAATTTGGCTCCTTTCCACCGGCGTGCCATTAAGGCTGCGTCCGACCATGGTCGAGGGCAGCCCTCCTATCGTCCCTCCCAAGCCAATTCACTTGCACCACTACCTTCGCCTTGCCTCCCTCTCCACCTTGCACACATCAGCGAAACCGCTACCGCCTCCCCATCGTTGCTGACGCGACCGTGCCACCGTGGTGCGCCGCCGCACGGCTCGGCCATACGTGGTCAGCCCTCCTCCATCATCCTCTGTCCCAACCATCACCTCGGCATGGTCCATGGTAGCCTCCTGATGCTCACGCGCTAACCAATTAGGCCTGTAACTACCCCAGCTCACCGGAACAGTGGTGCCGCCATCATGGATGGCCGCGCGCCGCTGCAGCCGTCCCCAGCTAGTCGTGTCACCCTGCACCGCCGCTTAGCGTAGCCGCTCGGGTCAGAAATGGTGACCGGCCCATTAGGTGGTCTATCGCAGGTCCTTGGTGGACGACGCAGCCATGCTGTGTCATCGGCCACCGCGCCGCCGTGCGCTGGGTCGTCAGGGGTGTGCGTGGGGGAATTCCAGGAAAGCCAGGGGGTTAAGTGAGAAGGTTTTGGAGAGGGGGGAAATAGTGTTAGCACTTAGTTGTAATTTGGGAGAAGTTCGAGGTCTCTTTTGCTAAATCGCTAGCATGCGCGGGCTTTCCCCGGCGCAGACCGTCTCCGCGTGGGAGAATTTGTTTTTGTTTTTCATAAGGAATTAGAAATAGTTTTCTAATTTAATTTCTGAGCTAATCTTTGCCAATTAATATAAAATTGTGTAGGTGTCCAAAAATTGTGAAACAAATTTCGTTAGGTTCCTAAAATTGTGTTATATCTGTTAGTGTATTTAGTTCATATATATACATGTTGATACTAGGAGCTATTAAATCATTTGAGAGTGCTCAATATTATTAGGTTAAATATTGTAGGAATTTTTGTAGTAAATTGGTGATAGCTTTAGTCTTTTATGCTAGCTTCATCGTATTATTATGTGCTCACTTTAATTTTTGTAGCCTTAGAATAGACTAAGCATTAGGGTAGTTAAATGATCTTTGCTTCAATGTATATTAAATCACTAGTACCAATAAAGATACATCCTTAATTTGCCAAGCTAAGGGTTTGTTAGTTGAATTCAACACCTTGCTTGATGAAGATGATTGTTAGCTTAGTACCTTAGTCATTAGAGCTAGCTTAGTAGCTTAGTATGCTATTCTTAGTTTAAGAGTTGTTGTTGCCTAAATGCTAAGCGTTGCATCATCATCACATGCATGTAGAGAACGAGTTGGCGGAGATCATGACCACCGGTGATCACGAGTTCGAGGAGATCGTCGAGGAGTACGAGGAGGAGATTCTCGTGTAGGAGGAGGTCCCGGAGCTGCCACTGACTGACTCAGCTAACACCGCGCCAGCCCAAGGCAAGCCTCGGTGCATAACCCTTATTTTTTATAATCACTGACTATATATATGTGATGTGCATTTATGTTACAGGAATTTTATGAAAACCACATGCATAGATATATCTGTCCTATGAGTATTACTAGTGCAGGTTCGAGTAGATGCTATGCTTAGGTTTTCGGTAGCGTGAGTAACCTATCGTTACTCACAATAAGTGACTATTATATTTACTCTCATGATAAAATGATGAAAGGAAAAATGGAGATAGGGTAGGGAAATGGTATGGGTATTGGTGGGTGTAACAGGTTGTGTCCCGCGGTCAACCGGGCTTAGCTTGGTTACATTGTTTTCCCTGTACATGTCGATTAAGGACCGTCCATTGTTGTGGATGGTAGTTAGGTCACAGACTTATTATCCTAAGCACATACTTGCTTATGGGAGCGGGAAGGCTCGTTACGCTCTTGTCATGGGTTTTGGCTCTTTTCGGACCGACTGATTGGAGGCGAGGAAAGGTGGAGGTCTAAGCACCATGTTGAGACCGGGTCTCAAGTGTGGGGGCTTGGAGTGCAAGTTTGAACGGGGACCTGGACCCCGTGATAGGAGTGGAATGGGTTAGTCTTGCTTGTGCCTAGGGCGCAAGCGGGGCACGTGTTTTAGGGTACCCAGCTGGGATACATTGGTTCGTGAATCACAATTTCTGTTAGACGGTACGACTTGGCTATGGTCTAGCACCGTAGTAAGAACTGGAAGATGAAAGATGGTAAAATAGTTCTGATTGCTTAACCCTTGCTTGAAAGTAGAATAGGTGCTTACCTAGAATGGTTAGCTAATGAAGTAATCATTACTGCTAATTAAACTTGATCTTAAGGACGTACTTCTAGTAATGCTTTTTGCAAATAAAATGAAAACAGCAAACTCATATTGCCTATCATATCCTTGAGAGTCGAGAAACTATTCCCACTAGTTAGGTAAGTCTTGCGAGTATATTGTGTACTCAGGGTTTATCTTACCTCTGTTGCAGGTGCCGCTTGAGGAGTAGCTCTTGCGTGGAAGATTCTTCTGGTGGGCACAGACGGATCCTTGTATCGTTTTCGCTAGATGTTTATTTTCATTCCGTTGTTTAATTATCGCACTCTGAACTCTGGTATTGTAATAAATAATTTCCAACAACTCTTGTTGTATAAAATGCACTAAGTATTGTAAGCTCGTCCTCATTATTGGATTCTGGATGTAAAATGTGGATTGTTTTGAGTTCTCCCGTGGGGTGTGCTCGACGGAACTGTTCGATGTAGCTCACTTTCGAGGTGCTTAGTGTCTAGTGGAAGATGAGCACCTCCGAAAGCGTGTTATTTCGGACGGTTCTGCCACACTTGATTTCTTTGCTTCTCTTCGGTCATTGACGGATAGAACGACATCTAGAAACATGGATGAGCTCATCGCGAATGTGGATAATGAGTATCAAAACTACAACCCTGTCATTCTGAATAGGATATTCCTCACGCTACAAGGATGCATGATTGAAGTTATGAAAGATAATAGAGGGAATAGGTACAAGATCCCCCACATGAATAAGGAGAGTCTAGAGGCAGTAGGCATGCTTCCGGAATCTCTTAGTTGTGACAGGGAGATAGTTGAGAAGGCAATTGAGTTGTTGAACAACTAATGGAGTTGGTTGTCTAGCTTTTGAGTTCTGCAGCAACTAAGGGAGTTGTTTGTCTAGCTTTTGAGTTCTGCAGCAACTATGGGATATGTTTATGTAGCAGTTGTATATATGTTTATGTAACAGTTGTATATATAAACAACACTTTTGGCATGGAACAACAACTATATATATATATATATAGTGTTACATAGTAATTCAACTACTACCATCTTCCCATTTATACTTAGTGAAACAGCAGTACCATTTACAGTAGTCAGGACCACTACAATATCTGAAACTACAGCATGCACCTATCCCCTACATATACAAGGAAGGGCATGGACAAAAGAAGAGAGCACTAATGCTCAACAGCAGCACCATTTGATGAAATACTAGTGAGAACTACTACATTATCCACAACTAGAGCATGCACTTATCCCATACATGTACAAGGAAGTGAGCAGTTGTTTAGTTATCATGGTCGTCCATGGTCTTAGTTCTCCTTACCTCTTGCCTTCCACACATTGATTGGTGTAGCCTCGTCGTCTGTCTCTATATCCGAGAAGCTAGCCTTATGCTCGTTATCGTCCTTGGTGTCATCTTTATCATCATTTTCCTTGATGCTTGCAATGTACCTTGTGCATGTGTTTTCCTTGCTGGTTCCAATCTGGCTTGTGCATGCCTTATCACTCTCCAACGAAACCTTGCGCCATTCATGGAACATGGTACTGCACAGGACGTAAACAAAGATGATCAAGTTACAGTGACAATCTAAAAATACCAATCGTAGCAATCCGATGCCTTCGCCTTACCACAAACGCCCACGAGTTTTTGTGACACCCTACTTGCCAATGAGCTTCACCACAGGCATATCCTGTGGTTCTGTTTCAGGCACAAACTCATCGTCCTCGGCAACAAAGGATGAAACCTGTTGGGGGCCTTCCTCATCCGAATCAGGGATCAACTCGAATCGATCCGCACCCCTTCCTGCGTATCCCGAGCAAAATCCTGGCCTCCTATGGCGATGCAGTTGAGCTTCTTGTCCCACCAAGTTCCACGGCGACGATCCCGGCCACGCATCGGTTTGAAGGACCGCAACAGACCTTTCGATTGGATCCCCAAGGCGCGTCGCATCCGCAATCTCTGGAGGAACCGGCCACTCCCGTGCAGGCCTCTACCACCACTGCCTGCCATCAACCGAGCGCCTTGAAAACATGTTCCTAAATCAGAGTAGTATATGTTACAGTGTCTTACTATATAGGAGTAGCATATATATATATATATATATATATATATATATATATATATATATATATATATATATATATATATATATATATTAATCGTTGCAATTTAATTTATTTATTTATTTATTTGTTTTTGGTGAATGGAACATGACGTTAACAAAGAAGTTCAGACTTAAATTTGGGACCAAACTAGCATCATCTAATAATAAATACGTGCCAGTACTGACAATGTTTGTAGTATCTCTTTGTGAGATTGCGCTACACGCTGACATGCACATGCACTCGATGCAGCAGCCATGATGGTTGCAGAAAGCGAACGGAATGGAAAATTGAAGAGAAATAATTGATGTCGGTCCTTATTGGGTTCCAATTTAGAGCTCAAATTACTAGATTCTTGCCAGCCAATGAAACTGAATGGAAAAAATTATTAAAAAGGACGGACAGCTCAGAATCGATGAACCTCACCTTGGCCCTTGCCCTTGGCCCCTGTCGTGCACCATGGCCAGATACGAGTAGCACACAAGCCGGTGGAAGTTGCGATCTGGAGAAGGCGACGGGCGTTGAAGACACGGGGCGCCGCCCAAGACCTGCCGCTGCGACTTAGTGCGGCACCTAGGCAGCCTGCTTGACCCGTGCACCGATCTGCGCTGAAGGATGCGAGGGGAAAGCGACGGTTGATGAGATGGGCCCCGCCTCGTGCCAGCCACCAGAGCTCCGCCTAGATCTGCACCCCTCCGTCGCCCTTATTCTTCAACTGCGCGAGGCCTCAATCTGGTGGGTGGTGTAAGACCGGTGAACGGGAAGGCAGAGCGGCCCGAGGCCGCCACGGCTCTCAGATGGGGAGAGACCACGAACGCCATGGGAGCGATGGAGGGAGTGAAAGGATATGCCTCCTCCACCGTCTGTTTTTTTTTTCAATTCGGTAGTGGACGACAGTAGGTGATGGATGGACGGGTGTTGTACTCTGGCTATAGGGTGGGACCCACGCTAAGACCTAAAACGACATCCATTCTGGTATATGTTTTAAATGCTTCGACGACCTGGGAAGGAGGGAGTATAGAGGTATAGTGGTACTACCAGATTTTCTTTTTTGATCTTGGTACTGGCCAGGCGCAACGTGTGTAGTACATCCATTTCATGATTTCGCGCCAGTGTTCTGTTCACTGTGGACTGTCGTTGTGTGCTTAATGGGCCTGGGGGCCTTGCCTGAGCCCAATCGATCTAGATCTCTCTCTCTCTCTCTCTCTCTCTCAAAATGGCAGATAGCTATAGATGTCGTATTCCACCATGGACCGCGTATTCGGCCCAGTACAGCAATTAGGTAGGCCTCCTCCAAGCTGAAGAAACGGCCCAAGATTTTGAGTTCTCACTGAAGCCCATGCTCAATTTATCCTCTTTGGCGATGTTTCAGATGCACAAGAATACTGTGCCTTTTGCTATTAAAAAAAACAAGAATACTGTGGCTATATATATTTGAAGAAATGGGAACTTCTGGTCTGCCAAACGCTACAAATTCATGATGATTGGGCATATGGCTGTTCACAAAGTTTATCTTTGGCTCAGGAAATCATCTTGTCGGGTTAATTAATGCGTAAGATGTTCTTTATTTGGGCTTATTTTGGCTCATGTTCAAGGACAGATTTCAACGTTCAGGATTCCTACGCAAAAAGAAATTAGAAATCGACCTGTAAATTAATTAGGTATTCTGATGCGCAATAAAGCATCTATACCTACGATGTAACTTTTGCAAGGACTTGTTGGGAATCAGTTAAACTAAACATCCCTAGTACAATCTATGTATAAATTGTTGATTGATTTTGATGTTTCACCTATTCGTCTATGGAGATTAAAAGTGCCTTGAAAAATAAATATATTGTGTTTGTATTTGCATAAGGTGTATCAGAACCTTTAGTGTCAGGTGTGTCGTGTTTTAGAGACAACTAGTATTTTTATCTTTGCAACACATGGGTGGAAGTTTAGCAACTGAATTTGCTAGAAGCAATGTCTTTATATTAAGTATTTTGTTGTTAGAGAACTATTAGTTTGCTTCACTGTAAATGCAAGTATTGCGATAATTTACGCCCATAAGCATCCTTGGATGTTCAGGCTAGGATTTGTTTTATTTTATTGTCAAAAAGAACACTAAACATATGTACTCACCTTGCTGCCACCGCAAATCGTTCAGGGCATTCAAAGGGAGCTCTAGCCATGCTTTTGCTCAAGGAGGTCATATCAAGGACCGTGATATGGTACGCTTGCATACAAACAAAATTACCACGAAACAAAGAACATTCATGAGTAGATGATCATGGATTCATGACACACGGTGCGGCAGAAGACTTGGTACAACATGCATAGATGCAGTCAACATCAGGGAAGTGGTAATATGATTTGACATAATGCACAAACCATGAACAGTGCCTCTACACTCACCCACACATACAAGGAACGAACATCGCATGTAGGTGTGCTAACACCTCACATGCAACAGCGCTCTAGGGATGCGATAGTGTCAGGTTCATAAACCCGGGGTCCCTCACGGACCGGCTTCCCAACAAAGGTTTGGCCCGGCAGGCAACGTTGCAAACAAACACGCAACTCATGAGCCGGCCTAATTACCTAAACGACAGGCCAGAAGGGCGATCCAATCACCGACCGAAAGGTCTGGCCGAGGAGGAACGGCGCCCGTTTCCGACTTCGGCCCACCTCTCCGACCGGAGCGCTCGCTTCGGTCTCTAGCCCGCCTCCAGACGGCCTCTCCGACCGGAAGGCCTGGCCAAAGCACTACTCCCGACTCCGACCCGCGTCTCCGACTAGGGATGCACCAAACCCCTGCTCACTGCTCTTCTCCAACTGGCGCATTCAGAGCCGACTGGGACTAACCGACCGGGGACGCCTGCTCGGTAAGGACCAAGGAACGGACGGAGAAAGTAAGGCAGGGCGCACAAGTCAAACCACAATACTAGGGACCGTACCCTCCGCACCTGCCAGGCAGTACCCTGCGACTCTCCTGGCACGACAGAACCCAAGCAGTGTTGTAGGCGCCGACATTTTTCCCTACAGTATTGTGGGCGCCATTAACTCCCATACGGTAAGGCTCCCCCCCCCCCCACATGCCTCCGGGCATCAATGAGTGTTAATGGGCGCCTTGATTAACTGTACCAAAGTAACATGGTAAAACCCCTTGCATGTCTCTAGGTATCAACAGTGTGGCAGGCGCCGACGTCTACCATACCTGAAGAAGACAACACAACCTCCCACGTGCATCTGACATTCAACAGTATTGTGGGCACCTACCATCGTCCTGTACCCGCCGGCGTGGGCAACAAGGCTTAGTAGCATACGTACTCTCTCCCTCTCACTTGTAAGGCCATCCCCTTCATCTATAAAAGGGGATGCGCTCTCTCCCAACAGATTTAGATTCATTTAGATCGATCAAGTTCACTAGTACACAACAGCAGAACCACTAGGTTCAAACCTCGAGCACACGCTCGAACACTTAGCACGTAGCGGAGCTCCCGTCGCTCTCGGTCCTTCTGACCAGAGTCCGACCGGACCTCTTGTACCCCCCATCTTTCTCCTTCTCGATTGTAACCCCACTGTAAACTTTGAGCACCTGGACTTAGGAATAAAGTCACCGACCGACTCAAACTGGACGTATGGCATGTTGCCTGAACTAGTATAAACCCTGTGTCATTGAGTGCTAGGCCACCTCCGATCACAACGTACGGCAAAACTATAAATATTTACTTGTTGGTCACTTTCTGCACCGACAGATAGATTGTCTAGAGTTCGATGGCAATCAAACATACCTTTACTTCCCTCAAGTATTGAAGCACAAGTATTGTTTCAATATATCGATGTCACTAATGGACCTTCAACGCTTGTGGCCCATTATGACTAAAAGTCTAATGTATCAAATATATCTAAGCCTATTAGAAGATCCAACGGGCTGACTCTACGGCATGCATCAGGTAGCCATCATCTTAATGTACAGCATTTGGATAGTATGACATGATATGTATTCAACCAACTATATTATGAAGCATGGAGTTATTCATATCTCCACTCACTTCGTAGATGTGGGGTCTCCATAGAGAGAGGGTGACTTCAACAACCTCTCAAATCCAATATAAAAACTATAACGACTCACCCAGCGGTAGAGCTGCTGATAACGTGTTGAGAATCGACCTATCCATGGACTGCCACTACCACAATCCTGAAATTTCTTGAGGGCTAGGAATTTTCTTGAAGGCCAAATTGAAACCGCCAAGAAATATGGTATTTCCTTGGCGGTGCTATAAAACAGTCAAGGAAATATATATTTCTTGAAGGTTGGTGAGACCCACCAAGGAAATATAAATATTTCTCGGCGGTTTCGCAAAACCCTCAAGGAAACTATAAATTTTTCTAACCGCCGGCGGCCAAGGAAATGTTTTCGGTGCCAACGCCAAAGTTAGCCAAGTCCTGCGTCACTCTCCCGCGAAAAAATTGGCTCCCACGCGTAACCCTAACCCGCCGCCGCCCCAAAGGCAACTCATCCAACACAGGGACGTCCCCAACACAGACCAAAATTCCCCCTACCTCCGCCACCCATCTGCCGCCCACGCCACCTCCTCCCCTCGACGCAACCTCCTCCGTCGTCCCTCCTCGACGCCCTCCGCCTCCTCTCAACGCCCTTCTCTTCCACTCCCGACCCCCCTCAGCACCACCCTCTCCATTCTCCACCCCCTCGAACCTTCGTCCCAAGATCTCCATGGCTTAGCTCTGAAATCAGTGTCCTCCACCCTTTGGCTTGACATCGTCAGCTTCTCCACTCATCCCCTCTGTTCCCACGCCCAGACGTGCAAGATCTGTGATGATGTGAAGCCTATCTCTGGCGTCGTGGTGGGGATTCTTCTGCGTGTTGGACTGTGTTGGTGCTGAGTGCCGTGGATGCTGCTGCCGTGGTGGGGATTCTGCAGTGTGTTGTCGTGGACGCTGCTGCCGTAGTGGGGATTCTGTAGCAAGTTGGCCTGGACGCTGCTGCCCTGGTGTTCGCACTGGTCCATGGTCTGGACAGCTCCGGAGGTCAATATCCTGTAGATCCAGACAAACACTTCAGAGCCTGGTGAGGATGGCTTTCTTATTTTGTTTTTTTTTGTTTTTCTTCATCATTACTAGTACACATACTGTGCGCTAGGACATAGGTCTGAAATTAGTTCTGAGAGACATTGGATATTCTAAACTTTTGAGGCTTTCGATTCAAACAAATTAATTGTTGCTATCTGAAACATCTGGTTGGACTTTAGATAGTTCACATGGAAATTGGTGTTCGTCTTCAGGGAACCCATGTGTTCGTCTTCAGGGAACCCATGTGTAAACTGATCATGCCTTTTTTTACCAGGTTTGATCTCAGTAGATGTGATCTGTTTTCCATTGTTGAGGAGTGCAAGGGAATTCTCTGTGGACAACTCTGAAATACAGTAACAGTAAGTATCATGTTCTTTCTTAACAACTGTGTGTTTGACATTAGTTAGAGTGCATATTTGTAGTAAGCTGGACACAGTGTTGATAATTATTGTGTTTCTCTTTCTTTTCTGCCCTACTAGCCATATTTGGTTGATAATTATGTCAATATTCAAGAACCTGAAATATATATAATTTTTGTCATCTTTTTAAAACAGAATAAAAGTAATGACAGGCCGGGAATGGATGTATAGTGGTTGGTCTCCTGGACAGGCCCCCTCTAATGAGTGGATTGAAAACACAACCAAGATGAAGAGGACCCTGATGATCTGCCTGAACATCTAGCTTATGACCCTGATGATTATTGACTTCTTTTTCTTTACTTAGGGGTTGTGCAAGCAGTTTGTATTCC